GAAAACTGCCTATTTCCCCAGGATTACAGGTTTCGCTTTCCCCATAGGTATTTTTGTTCAAATACAGGACAGCAGACGTCAATAAAATCATTATTAATTTGGTAAGCAAAAACAGAATTCCAAGCTGTCTTCAGATATTCTGGTAGAGAACAACTTCCTGAACATACTGGTATTTAAACTCTTTAAGAGCAAGTTGGGAGACTTATGGAAAAGGGCTGATCTCTGGAGAGCTGAGCCCCTGCCCACCCCAGCAGGAGAAACTTGGTGGGTCTGAGCAGCAGTGAATTAGGCTTTGAGTCAGAATATGCAAGGATGCTGTGCCAGGGTTCTGGAACCAGGATGGGGGTTTGGACCTGAGGCCGGGCTGGATGGGGAGAGCTGGCCAAGACAGGTGCCAAGGTGAGAGCGCCATGGCTGACAGTGGGACCTTCCGCCTGACAGGGACCGGAGCATGGATTCCTTACAGCTGATGTGAAGTTCTTATTATTTAAACCCTTCATCTCATCCCTTCTCACATAATCACAGGAGATCTTTATTGTTCTTACTCTTGCCATGCATTGGGCTCAGGGCGTTTCATATGTCATTCAATTCTTGCAGTATTTCTGAGAAGTGGATACTCTATCCCACTATAGATAGAAAACTGGCTCAGAGAGATTAAGTGACTAGCTCAAGATCACACAACGTTTGGGAACATTGCTATCATTTATTAAGTACCTACATCTGGTATTTTTATCACTTCCTATGGTTATTCAGAGAGGGAGTACTGCCAAATAGTTAAGGACTGTACATACTAGTTAATCTAATACTCTCTAATAAAATCTAAGTAGGCCTATCATACAAATGAGGAAACTGAGGCTCAGAGATGGGTTGGTGAGTTGCCTGAGGTCATTCAGAGAGTAGACAAGCTAGAATATGACCCCTGGGTCCAATGTGTTGCCTTTCTCACTGATATGCTGGGTCAGCTTCCCCACTATGCTCACAGAGAAGTCCAGCAACTCAGTAGTTAGTTAAGTCCTGAAAGCCATTTCCTCGAGTGACTGAAAATTTAAACCACTAGAAAAATAAGATCTGATGCGTCCGACCATTTCAAACTTAGAAATCATTTCCAGATAGGCTGATGGGACCCACAGCAAAGGAACACCATACACACACCTTGTGTGTTTCTATGCCTCTTTTCACCCAAGGAAGTTGAACTGCCTTTAATAAAACAGGCCACTTTTGGAAGCTCCATCTCTGCCACAGGAATGATGCGATTGGGACATCCTAGGGTCAGGACCAAGTAGGAGGAACTGATGATCCCTAGAAAGGCTTTAGCTATGGTCCAATCCTAGATTAACTGCCCACCAACTCAGAGGCCTGGGATAGCAGTGAATCCTCAGCTGGGTTTTTCCATGTTCCTGCCTCCAGACCCCTAGCACAGCACCCTTCTGTACTCTGCCTAGAAATCTACTCCACCCACCTCAGACTCACCAGAGCCTACCACGTGGAGAATTGTTAGAATTCTAACAATTCTCCACGTGGTAGGTAGAAGCAACCTGTGACCAAGGGGAACTTGTCATGGCTGATTCTGACCCTGACCAAGTGGAATTAAACCTGTGGTTTCCTTTCTTCCCTCAAACACCCTCTAAGAGAACCTCTCCTTCTCATGCCCCACCCCCTAATCCCAGGCCACAGCTGATTTGTCCAGCTTGGGTCAGGTGTCCACCACTGGCCCAAGGAAACTTATGAACTGCAAGATGGCTTGGCCGTTTTAGTTGTATTAGAAGGTGCTGAGAAAGCCTAGCCACAGGAAAAGAATAAAATAGACCCATAAAGAAAAGAAATTGACAAATTAAAAAGCCCCACGTAGAGGGGCTTGTTCTTAGTACTTAGTCCCAAAAGATGGGACTTTTGGCCCCGTGTGGGGTTCGCCAGGTTCCGGTACCCACCCGTGACCCTTTACATTTTGGATCAGGCTGGTTTGAGCTGGCAGCCAACAGCATCAGTTTCCAACGGAGACAGCGTGTGAAGTGCTTTCCTTAAGTACCTACTATGCGTCAGGTGTTGGGCTCACGACAACTATTATTTCAAAACATCTCACAATTTACTGCTATAAGCTTAATAGTTACTGAAGTTACTAACATAAGCAGATACTCAGTGGGACCACCCAAATGGCTTATAGATTTAAATTTATCAAATTTACTACAGAATTTCATGAACAATTTATATGGCAACTGCAGATGGAAGCTTAAGACAGTGAACTCACTCTTCTATCTTTCTGTTTAAGTCTTTCACATTAAATAAATGCCTCCTTGACAACTGGAGAAAAATAATTATAATATTCCATTGAAGCTGAGAAATAAAGCAACCTTTGTTTATTTTTAAAAGATAAACATGGCTGATCTGCACTAATCATAACATTTTGAAGGAAAAAAAACAATATTCAAGATTTTTAGCCTGTAAATAAATAGTATCCTGTTTTATTTATTCTGTTAGCCAAAGATAAGGCTGGAAATGAGAAAATTGGATAATGCTTATGGATTTAAAAGTATCAAGACATGGTATTCGATTCTGAGGAAATAAAGGCATAAATGGAAAAAAATGGCTTAGTAATAGAAAAAATGAACTTAGGAAAGAATGACATTTAAAAGTTTATACAATAAACTTTACATGCTTGACTTGAGAGACTAAAACATTTTTTCAAGTCCTTAATGATGAGAACAGCAGCAAAATTCAAGACAATTAAAAATCGGCATTTAAGAATCTGCTGTATTGTTATGAATAAATCTAAGACAACTGTATCAGTGAAGCCTAAGAAAATCCCAATTATGACTCTATTCAAGCCAAGGAGCACTGACTTTCCATTTCATTTTCAAACTTGCAGCATATAAACGACTCTGTCTCTAATTAAAATAGCAAAGCCAAGCTCAAGTGCATGCCCTCCTGTTCTAAATACATCATATATCTGAAGTATAAATTATAGAAATAAAGACAAATAATGGCATGAAGGGCATGATAGTTTATTTTAAAAAACTGTACCACACTGATCATAATGACCAGCATACACATTATGATGGCTTTTCTCTTGGGTATTAACATTGCAGTATTTTTGTATACTGAAATGTTTCAATAGGACCAAGAACGTTAGAGATATAAAGATCTTAGATGAAAATGAACACTAATAATTCCGGTGTCCTACCCCACAGAATTAATTTAAACCCCTTATGAATCAGTGGCATTATAATGTTATATAGTTATGAAGAATGAAAGTTCTCTTCTCAATAGGCAGCATGAACTTATACTTCCTTTTTCTTTAATCTTTAGTTTTTATAATTTAAGCTATGTCCACCCTGGCCAAAGCACAATCATACAAGACACCTCAGATAATTTCAATGCTACCATTGCAAAGTTTAGTGATTTTTACTTAAACAAACAAAATCAAACCACTGCCAAAAAAGGATGGAAGTAAAACTGATTTTCCAATCATTTGAAAAGCATAGTGCTTATCTGTCCAATACAGACTCAAACTTAAATTAAATGCTATCATTATAATCTCCAAACTTCTGCAATAAAATTAACATTTATATATATATACACACATATATATATATACACACACATATATATATATACACATATATATATATATATATATGGGTTTTGTTTATAGAACTGTATTTTGCAATCAACAAGAGAAAGTTATTTTTTAAAGAACAATATATTTGGTTACAGTTCCACATGTTGGTAGTAGAAACAAAGCCACATGATGTTAAATCTGGCTCTAAGTTACCTAAGGTACAAAATTTTGATCAAAATTATGATACTCTGATCTTAAAAATTCAACCCATGTGAGATTATTTTTTAGAGTAAATGTGCTGTTGAGTAATCATTTCAATAACCTTCTCTTTGTATGACTATCTGCAAATTGACCCTTTTCTTTAATCAATGTGACTCACCAGCATTTCAAACTGACCTCTTTACTTCTATGTTACCATTTTTATACCCAGGGATTTCTGAGGCAGCATAAGTTTGACTTCATTAAAACCAGTAAATACTTTAACCTTGCAGTGACAGTTTTTAAATCTGTAAACTCAAGAATCACATTATTGAGCTCAGCAACTATAAAAACTTTGAGATTTTGGCATTTCTAACCAGAATCTCTTTGTGCTTTTTAAATTAAGCTGCTTTTGAATCGTTTTGGTATTTATCAGCCATCATATTTCCCTTATAATGATAAAAGAATATACTTAAAGTAATTTTTATGGTTAAATGTTCTGGGGGCTTATCAATACTTAAAAACAGAAACAAAAACAATTATTTTTTTCCGTCAGCATTTGGAATAGTAGAAATTATTTCTGGTCCCTCCTTAGATCAACCAACGCTACTTTTCATCACGTATAACACTGAATTTTACAGACATCCCTGAAAAGTTTTTGATAAGTAAACGAGTGAATCACAGTGGAGTCTCCATCAGTTGACAGTGTAGATCCAGTAACAAAAAAAACAAAACAAAACAAAAATTACACTGAATGTTAAAAGAAAATCTTCAAGCTAAAAAAAAAAAAGAAAAGAAAAGAAAACCCTCCTTAGAATTAAAACCGAGTGTGTGTTGTCACTGATTCTGTGCTCGTCTCCAATTGATTAGACTCCTTCTCTGGGTTATAAGACATGTTCAATGAAATCTCCACACCAAGTTTCCAGGACACTTGAGTGAAGAGGCTATGCTACTGTAGCATCTAAGGGAACAGAGTGGCACCGTTTTCTTCCCTAACAGACACCACATCCAAAGATGAGCACGCGTGTCCCTCCACTGTGCTCACCAGCATGTATCAGGAGACAAAACTTGCTGGGCAAACTGATGACAGCTGATCCTCCCACCCCGCCCCCAGCATCAACAGGAGGTTCCCAGCAGTTTGTCATTATGTGCACTGGCCTTTCACTCTTTCAGTCAGAAAAGTTGTGGTTACTTTAAAAAGGGGGTGGGGGCGTGGAGAAATGAAAAAACCAAGAGTCTAAAGGCACAAAGTCGCATAGCTGCTCTAGTTGGAGTTTGTAAACAGAGAATAAGTTGAATTTAGGTAATCCCAATCTGTGAGAGTAAAAAGGCATCCACAGCAGGCTTTTATCCAGCCAGCTTCTTTGAGACCCTTCATGGGTTTTGAGGTCTACAAAGTATGCACTAAAATACCCATACTTCAAAAAGCAATAAGGCAAATAGTATAATCATTATTCCAAAAGTTACAATGGTAGTGTAGGCATACATAGTATAATTTAGTTACAATGTGTGGTACTGTTTCTATTATATAACCATATTAACTGCTTCTTTCCTACATAATTATATATTCAGCCGAGTTTCAGTTGAACACAAAACCATCCTTGTACCACTGCTGACAGTTGGCAATAGCTCTTTGATAGCAGTTTTTATTCTGCTGTAGAAATTATCCTTGAACTGAAAAAAAGTCCATAATCCAACCTCAAGTCATTAAACACTATCATATTTGTGAAGAGCCTCTTCCAACTTCTGCGTCACTTTTTGGAAAAATATTATTTGTTGTTGTAAGAAATGCTGCATCTGTGATTTAAAGTCTCTTACTCGAATTTGATGGAAGTGGTGAATTTCTGCCAAAGTGGCAAAAGAAATAGTGTTACAGCGATCCTGAATGCCATCAGCCTTTTGGATCTCCATCTTCCCTTCTTCCACGTGTCGCCTACTCTCCTTTACTTTGGTAAGAGCTCCTGTAGTTAAAACAAAAATTAATTAAAAAATATATATGTATCCCAGTGGTACAGCTACATAGTAAACAGAATGCTGGGCATTATAAATACTTGCCTGAACTATTTTAAAGTCCTTTGGCGTTTAAAGGGTTGACTATAATCACTTATTAAAAAAGAAGAAATCTGGTAAAGTTTCTGAAAACACCTCCATTGCTGCAACTTCAGTTATCAAAACCAGCTTTTGCCATTGACCAAGTAGCTATAGCATGTTTCATCTCTTGCAGGCAGAGAAACTATAAACGACAGATATCAAACTGCAAGGAATTGTCCCTAAAAAGACAAACTAAGCAACTTTGCAGTTTTAAGAGAAAAGGTGTGACACCATTATATACACATATATTGAGAGACATTTATAAAGGGGAGAATACTGCATGCATGCCTGGTTTTGACTCCACATTCTATCAGGAGACCCATACCTGCAGCATAATGGCCCTGTGAAGTAAAAATTTGCCTCCTTTTCTTTCTTTTTTTTCTTTTTCGGCCATGTGGCATGTGGGACTTAGTTCTCCAACCAGGGATCAAACCCGTGCTCCGAGCTTCATTAGAAGCTCAGAGTCCTAACCACTGGACCGCCAGGGAAGTCCCTAGCCTCCTTTTCTTTAGGAGCTGTAAAGATCAGTGAGTTTTGAGTCTGCCCTAGTGATGATCTGGGAATGAAGCCAGAGGGTGTCATAGCCTCCAGTCAAGAAATGTCACCAGAGGGTGTGTGAAAGGAGGAGGGAAGAGCATGGTTCTCTGTGGCAGGTGCCATATGAGGGCAGACCCTCCCGTAGAAGCACAGTCATATGAAAACACGAAAGGCTGAGGATGCTTAGGGGGTAGGAAAAATAAAGACTATTCATGGGTTCGTAAAAATGATAAAGCTCAGATCACTTGAGCACAGCCAGCTCAAGAATCCAGAATACCTGACTCCACGTGGCACCCATTCTACTAAACCATGATGAAAGACAGAAACATCTAGGACACCTGGCTTGGTGGTCTACGGACATGGTGATGCTACAGGGGGGAAAGGTAGCCTGTTTAGAAGGCAGTGGGAAAGCTGAGCGACTTTGTTGTGGAAATGTTCGGTTTTAGCTGATGGTGAAATATACAGGGGAAAAGCCCTATATCTAAATTTCTTCAAATCTACAAAATAATATAGAGTAAACCTGGTATTAAATACAACGCTTAGAGCCTAAACAGCGTCTTTTTTTTTTTTTTTGGCACAGCTCAAAGACCCGAGAAATTAAAACCCACCGACAACAAATGTTATAGCTACATATGTATGTATGTATATTTTCATTTATTTATTCTAAAGAAGATCTTTACCCGAAAAGCAGGAGAGCCCTGGAGCAGAGAGAATACCCTGCTTCCCCTGTGACCACACAGCGGAGATGCCGTTCGTGTTAGCAGAGCTACAGGAAGACCCCTGACCCATTCCCCTAAGAAGCCATCGCCCGGAAAATACAGCGCTGTTAACATTTTCCCCATGGCGGACGGGACTCGGGAAGCAGTGAAACCTGCCTGCTTGTGGTCTCAATACTAAACAGAGAAAGAGCGCTCCCCCTCAGAGAGAGAAAGTAACTTTTTGTAGCAAACTTATGTTCATTATATTTGTACAAGTGTCCTGTCCCGGTCTATATGTAAAAATTGAAGTTGAAGAGACCAGGAAAGCATGAGACAGAAAACTAAAAAAGAAAAGAAAAATATTTCAAAAAGATGGCTGAGAATATGAAATTTATGTTTCAAATGGTTGAGAGTGAGAACAAGAAGTCAAGAGAGCCAAGTCTCAGGAGATCTAACTGTTCATGTGATTCGGGGCCGAGGTGCCGGGCCCACCGTGTGAAGACAGAGGACAGGCACCGGCGCCCTGCCCCCGCAGACTCCCAGGCAGCTGTGCAGCAGCTGTGGCCTGTCCTGCGAATATGCTGCAGGTATTACTTGTTCTAGTTACTAGAGTCCAGCACAGAGGAGTTCGGAAACCTGGCCCTGAGCTGTGCCAATGTCAATGAACCTGCAGCTTGTCAGACTCCAGATGAGATCGCCATATTCTCAGAAATGACATTCTATTACACAGAACTGCAGACTGCAGACGTGCATCCATAAAACCAACTTTACAAATGAACAAGACAGAAGTTTTCACAACTTGAATCACATCGGCATACATTTTCAAAACTCCTGGACACGGTACAAGTATTAAATCTCTGCAAGGTCTGAAGGCCTTTTGGCATTTGACACCTTTAAGCTTTCTGAGTGTACATACTAAAGGAACCGAGAATTTAAGACTCACTTTTCTCCCAACTATAAGTTTATTTACTAAATAACACAGAGCCCCAAACAGTTGGGCTCTGGGGCTAGAATCTCAGCTTGTTTACCAACATTTATGGAGGGTCTAACGTGTAGAGCACAGAGCTGGCACACGGGGGGACTCACAAGAAATGTTCAAGTCCCCACCCTCCGGAAGCTCTCGAGGAAATCACCTCGCAAAGCACACTGAGGACAGGCACATAACCATGACATGAAGTGAAACAGGACCACAAAGCACAGAATTCTGCATAGGAGCTGAATATGGCTTTCTCCAAGATAACGTGATTGTGTCACAAGGGAAAGTGCTCGGAGGGCCTGCTACGTGCCAGGCAGTGCTGTGGACAAAGCAGGGAGGAGGGGGGAGAGGCAGGGAACAGGCGTAGATAACAGTAAATGGTAGCGGCCAAAAATAGTCACAATATAGGCGAGGCGCTTTCCGTGTACCAACTCTAACCCTGCTGCTACTTTGCAACAGACATTACTACTATTTTATGACAAGGGAACTGAGAAAGCCACCCAACCTCTTTGAGCCTCTAAGTCAGCGGTAACCCAGTAAGAGGCAGAGGAGATGGGATCTGAGTGTACAATGACTTCAAAGCAAACACTACAAATATTCAGAAAAGAAACTGGAGCCTGAATAGGCAAAAAAGCAAGGTGGGCACTGGTGAGCAGGGTGCAGGGGATAAGGGCTGGGCCACTGAGGATCAGCTATCCCGTCTCCTCCCCTTGACCCCAGGCATCCCCACCCCCTGCCCCAGAGCTGGGGCTCCCGCACTGCCCTTCTCCCTTCCCACCTTCCTTGCAGGTCCTGGACTTTTATTCTGACATGCAAGTCAGAAGACCTTGTGAGTATGTAAAATAAACCATATAGGTTTTGAAAATTTCCCTCTGGAATCTTACGAACCTCATTCAATTCACTAATGGTACCTGCAAAGCCTTTTAATATTTATAAGATGTCTGATTTTAATATTTATAAGATGCCTGATTTTCTTATCTTTGTAGCATATGATTAGGATGCCACAAAACATCGAAAAAGCAGCACATATTTCATTATTTTGAAAATCTAAGCTCAGACTTACATGGGGGAGGGGGGCCTCTCTTCCCCTGCCTCCCCTACCCCGACTTAGATCCTACTGGAAAATTATATAAATTAAGAACTACCACCAAAAATAGTAACATACAACCCCTGGATGGGCTTTGCCTTCGTTTGCTCTAGTGCAGTTGGACATCCCAGCAAAAAATTATTTTGCAAACTAGGAAGGACAGAAAAAATCACTGAGCAGAGTAAGCACCCAAAGGCCAATTTTACTTGGACTTTTGGTTTAACGCACTTAATGCAATTCAAATCCATTAGCATAATGCATCAGGATTGCAAGTAGCAAGGAAATAGGAGGAGATATAAGATATGTTTTTTAAGAAGAGACATACTTCCTATTTTAGGGACTATTTTTTTTTTTTTTTTTTTTTTTTTTTTTTTTTTTTTTTTTTTTTTTTTTACGGGCCCAGCCGCTCCGCGGCATGTGGGATCCTCCCGAAACGGGGCACGAACCCGCGTCTCCTGCATCGGCAGGCGGACTCTCAAGCACTGCGCCACCAGGGAAGCCCGGGACTATTTTTTGATGTGACAAGATTTACATGCCTGAAACCATTAAAAATCTATACAAGGCAGCATATGTATCAAACAGCATTCTATGAATGTACAAACTCTGGTAGAAGAGTGAGTGCTAGGTGTAATCAAAGAAGATCATGTCTCCACAAAACGGGACCCACGAATTTAGAGCAAGCTTTAAAATAACAACAGCAACAACCTCTTTTAACTAAAATGTAGCTAAACTGATTTTCCCCCAGATCCACCTTCAGAAGAAAAATGATTAACAATAAAACAGGCTGATAGCAGTATACTTTTTTTTTGGCGGGGGCGGGGGGCGCGCTGCACTGGGTCTTTGTTGCTGCGCGCGGGCTTTCTCTAGTTGTGGCGAGCAGGGGCTACTCTTCATTGCGGTGCGCGGTCTCCTCATTGCGGTGGCTTCTCTTGTTGCGGAGCACGGGCTCTAGGCGCGCGGGCTCAGTAGTTGTGGTGCGTGGGCTCTAGAGCGCAGGCTCAGTAGTTGTGGCGCACGGGCTTAGTTGCTCCGTGGCATGTAAGATCTTCCTGGACCAGGGCTAGAACCCGTGCCCCCTGCATTGGCAGGCGGATTCCTAACCAGTGCACCACCAGGGAAGTCCCAGCAATATACTTTTTGAAAAATCGTAAGAGTTCCTGAGTTGAGACAGCAGTCCAGTTCTTCTCTAAGCAGCTGGCTGTTAAAGTTCAGGATGACAACCCCAAAGACCTTCAACGCCAAACCCCCCCAAAAGAAAGTTATCTTTTGTAAAATATTATTCAAAGTTTAAAAAATTATTTCCTTTAAGAAGAAAACCATTTTGCTTTTAAATATTCACCTTACAATCCTCTGGTTAGTTCTTCCTATACATTTTAACAAACACTAAGGGTTTAGTGTGTTTGCTTTCTTATGAGAAAGATAAAGTCAAGTCCTTCAGTGAGCTAATTATGGAAGTTAATTAACTGGTTTACTGTCTGAGGGTGAACAGGAGAAAAAAAAAGTGGCATCCTTTAAACAGCTCAAGCTATCCATCTGAACATACAGCATGGGTGTCTAAACACTTGGGGATTG